AGAGAGAGAGAGAGAGAGAGAGAGAGAGAGAGAGAGAGAGAGAGCTTAACTTATAAAACAATAGATTTCCATATGGCTCCTTCTGTTTTCCAGGCAGACTAGAGACCAGTGACTCTTCAGGAACTGTCCAGGCCTCCAGTGCCAGACTGAGACCACCGAGTCATCCAGCATCATGGACTCAGCAACTGTTGAATTCTAAGCTTCCCCAGCACCCACATGACCATCACTGGACTACCCCGAAGTGCTTTTGCTGCTTTGTAAAGTCAACAGTGGTAGCCGAAACCATGGTTAAGTTGTGGGCTGCCTTGCTTCCGCTAACACAGCGAGAGGGCTGGAGCAGGGCAGGAGTGAAAGGTTGCGATCTGGACAATGAAGAGTCAAACTGTTCAGTAGGTGGTGAAGCCGTTTGCCCTAAGAGACACTCTGGGATGATGTGCAAGTTGGAGCCTCTAAAACAGATCAGAGGGCAAAGGCTGGGTTTGCCTCAAGGAGGCAGAAGGTATAACTAACTGGCCAGCACTAACCGGAAGAAGGAGAGGTACCTGGGTAACACCATTCAATCTCAGCCCCAGCCAGCAAGAACTATCTGCTTCTGCAGGTGCAGAGCTGGGGGCCATTATCTCTCTTAGGGAGGTGGCATGAAGAGTCAGAGGCTCTTGCTGGCATGCAGGAAGTGCTGCGACGGCCACATCATGAGAGCGAAAATGTTACTATGCCCACCGTCATAATAACAATCCACGATCCCTGTGTGCAGGTCTATCCTTGCCTGCCTGACTGCCTGGTCCCTGAAGCAGCTAATGTCTGGCCATTTCAGTTCAGCCCTTGGACCTTTAATAATGTACCTCTGGGCTGCATCTGTGGACTAAGGACATTTCCTGGGGCTTTCCATCTTTGAACAGCACAGCCAGAAGCTTGCAGAAGGATAATGACTTTGACTCCATGGCCACTTCCCAGGAGAGCAGCCTTGCTTCCCTGGGCTTAGAATAACGCCCCCCTCCTTGGTTTCTCTGCTTCCCAGCGGATATTATGAACCTCCTTTTATTTTATGTAGGGCGTTCTATGTACGTCGTCTCCTGGGGAACACTAGGGAGCATCTCAAGGGGAGCAAGCCTGATTACTTTGTCCTGTAACCTCAGCACCTGAAGTTTGGACATAGTCAGGTGCAGTGAGGGTTTATAGGATGAAAAGTGGTATTTAGTCAGTTAGCATTTTGGTTAGCATTTTGCTGTTTTCCCATGCTTCCTGCATACCCTGCCAGCTGCTGAATGCAGGCAAACAAACAAACAAACAAACAAACAAACAAACAAACAAAAATAAGAGACCAGATAAGAGACCAAATACTGCTTCGCTGATGGAAGCTGCATTCTGATGGGGACTAGGCAAGAAGGGCACAGTTTCCCACTCAGAATCATCAAACCACTCTCTACTCATTCCAGCCAAGGGACACTTGAGCAACACTTGCACAGAGCAGGAGGGAGGCCCCTGCCGTGAAGTACCTTTTATGACCCGGTAAGCGACACCAACTCAGTCTTTTAAAATTGTTTCCAACTCCACTGTGACCTGCAAAGAATGAGGTGGCCAAACAGCCCTTGTAAGGTGCAATGAAACTGTCATGTCCGCAGAGCATGAATTGACTCTCCTTCCTAGAGAGGCCTTCATATTCCCATAATGCAGCAGTAAAGTGCTGGGTTAGCCATTTTGGCAAACTGCCTATAATAACTCACAGATCCCCTATATGCTCCACACCGGAGTATCTACCGGAGGGGACCTAAGACAGCAAACAGGAAGTAGGAAGTTAAACTACATGTCCTGTCCTTGGTGCTCCTTGTCACACCCCCTTGCTCACTCCCGAGCCAGCATTATGAAAGGCCCTGCTGCTCTGGCTCCTGATCTGGGCCCTCATAAACCTGGCTGAATTCTGAAAGGGAAGATGTCGTAGGTCATAGAGACCTCAAATGGCAAATCAGCTTAGCACAGATCGCTAACACTGGAACCTAAGTGTCAACAGGATTGAGCATTCATTCTTACAATGTCCTTTCCTTAAAGAGTGGAGGGCTGATGGTGAGTACAGGAGTGAAGGGTCAGGCTGGGGTGATATCCTTTGATAGGAATGTTGGAGCCTATTCAGGGAGGTAAGATCATGGGGTTGGGAGAGGGGGAATGCTCCTCAGAACTTTGTTAGAGAACTTACTGGGTCAAAAGTGACCTCCGAGGAGTCATCTGATGTGCAGTAATCATTCCTACCAATGCTTTAGAATCTGCTTAGCATCAATCTCTTCCCTCACCCCCCAGATCAACCTTCCTTCCTACCGATGGCAAGCACTTCCTTCGTCAGACCTGCCATTAGCTAATATAGATTGAGAACACTATACCAGCACCAGAGTGTCCTGGATCTCTTTGGATTTGGGAACATTTGCACACACATAATAAGGTATTTTTGGAGGTGGAACGCAAATCTAGACTTGAAATTGACCTATATGTCATATACATCTCACATACATTCAGAAGTTTGATTGTGTGTGACGCCTTTCAGTGTGCTCTGTTTTGATTCTGACTCCCATGAGAGCAGGTGTGGAATTCTCTACACCTGAACTTCTGGATTTTTGGAATACTTCGGATTTTGGGTTGAGACATGCTCAGCCTGTATTTTTGCCTAGATAACCCCATTTCATTATTTGTCACAGCCACCCCACTAGGAAACGGTAAGTGCTAGGGTGGTGAAGATCCTGAAACACAGACAAGTGAAGTCATTTCCTCAAAGCCAAACAGCAAATAATAGCCTAACCCAAAGCTGGATGAGGGTGTGGCTGTGTATGTGGCTGTGATGACCATGGTCTGGCTTCCTAGAACACACATAGTTTAGGAAGCACAACAGTGTTTGTGCAGGCACAAACGAGAGTCTGCCTTTTCTTTAAAAATACCCCCAAAGTCACAGAAGTATCGGTCATCGCAGGACACTGGGCACCCCTCTCTTTGGAGTTTGTCAAGGTACTCGGGAGGATGGCAACATATTGCTTCCCCGAGACTCCAGCTGTGCATCTAATAAAGAAGGCGATCCCGGCAGCCAGTGTTCATTAGGCACCTGCTCCACTCGGCTCTGCGCTGAGTGAAATAGGGAATTCTGTCATTTCTACTTTCGAGAAGGAAAAAGGCCCAGAGAAACTCTGCTGTGCTCAAGGTCACACAGCTGGCTTGCAGTAGAGCCAAAACCCTAGGTTCTTGTCCTTGTCCCTGTCCTTGGAGTCTGTATGTCCTAACTTGGGGTAGCATAGGCCACTAGTCATCATATACCCAAATCCCTGAGCCTTGGAGAAGGACAGAAGAGCCTAGGTCACTGTGTACCCTGGGGATGTGGCAGTCCAGGCCAGGATCAAGATCTTATGTGCTAGGGGGAATATTGAAGGCAGGCTCTGAGACATGGAACAGAACTCAGAACAATGTCAAAGACAATTGGATGATAAAAGCAAGATCTAGCCACTCCTTACCAACAGCATTTAGGGCCTCATCATACTATATGGTTCCTTATAGGGGACCTAATATGGGGATATTTGGATCAAGAAGCTGAGGGACTGAACTTGCCTATGTAAAGGTATCGTGTGTGTGTGTGTGTGTGTGTATGTGTGTTGCCATGCTACAGAGAAAGCAAAATAATTCTCATTCTGCCATTACCATCAGCAGTGGGCTTTAGGGGCTGATGTTTTGGTCTGTTTTGGCCATTCCAGACAGGCAGTGCTGGGAGCTGCAATTCCACAGGCTTAAATGGCTCTTTAAATTGCTGTTGGGTTTCGATGGGCCAGGCTTTGTCTAGCCCATGCCCTCCAGCATCCTCTCTCAGCCCATTGCTTCAAATAAGAGGCTCTATATTTTATTCATAGTAACCTGCTGCTGTGAGTTGGGGGACACTTCAGCCATTTGCCTTTCACCATTCTCCAGTGGTCACTTACAGGTCCTAGTGGGTTAATGCGACTCCAGAAGTCAATCCACGCCCACAACACAGGTTTTTCAGTGCTTCTGACTTTCAATTTCTCTTAAAGATGCTCTTGTAACCTCCCACCATCCCCATTTGGGTGCCTTTACAACCTACAGCACTTTAGCTTTATGAACTTGGGAAGAACAACTACAAGGGACATGACTTTGGCTTGAAAATTTCACCCAGTTCAATGCCAGCTCAAATTACCTTCCAATTTTGTCCTCTATAGAATGTCCTAAATATTCTTTCATTTGGACTCGGAGGAGTTTCACCTCACATACGGGTGCTGCATTGGACTGTTGGGTTCTCCACAAACAACAATTTCTTTGGGCTCTCACACTACCGTAGGGTGACCAGCATCTAGTACTGCGGTCCAGGGTTAAAGATGCATGAAGCTGGCCTGTGGAAGAATGTCACCTTTTCCCCATCTTCATCTGTAACTGGAAACTAGGCATACAGTCAAAGCCAGTTTCAACACTATACTCAAAAGAGTAACTCTGTATTTCAGAAGTAAAAATAGGTGGCATGAAGAATCGGAGATGTTTATTGCCAGTTTACGAGATAGGTGACCTTGAGAAAAATCTCTTTGGGCCACAGTTTCCTCATCTGCAAATGAGGGTTCTTGTGTCATTCATGTGATATTACTGCAGAACAGGTGAGACTGGTGCAGAGGAGACTCTGGGCACATATGAGTGCTGGCTGCAGTTCCACATCAACCACAGTGTGCACCATGTGCTCTGGAGGAACCAGCCCAAGTATGTGCATTAGCTATGCCCATGGCTGGCTGTGACAACTGTTCTCAAACCGATAGGCGATTGACTTTTTTCACCATGGCCCAAACTGTCTGCTCATTTCCCATTTCCCATTCACCACTTAAAAAGAAATTCTGTGACAATAAGACATTTATGCCTATGATACTGAAATGTCCTTAAAATGCAAGGGAGAAGCACTTGGCGATGTCTGTCTTAGAACTCCCATGGAATAGCCCTCTTGCTTGACACCAGCCCATGCCATTGGAAGTCAAACTCACCACACTGAATCCTTGGTGAGTTTGGTGCTCACATTCCCATCTTCTTCCAGGAAGATGTCCATTTGCAAATTGGCATCATTGTCATGGGCTGAGAAATAATTGGTAATGACTCGCGCCGGGATTCCAAGACATCTTAGAACTGTAGGTGAGAACAACCATTTGAGACACCAACCCACCTAACAAAACAAAATGAAAACTCCTTTTCTCTATGAGTCCTCCATCCCAACCTGGAGAGACCCTTCTTCAGATGTTCCACACCCCAAAAGTGCGACTTGTTCAGGCCCCTGAGGGCTGGAGAGAGAACGTGTGTTAGACTCTTGGGAACAACAGATGGTGCCAACAGGATTTCTAACAGAAACCCAATAGCCCACGCAAATAGTTTAGTTCTAACCACGGGTTCACCAAAGTAGCAGTAATCAATCCTCTTAAGAGGGCATGTTCTTGGAAGCACAACTTATAGAAAGTCTGTCCTAAGGTAGGATTGTACAGGGCAGGTCCTCGGTGGGGCATGCTACTTCCGGATGAAATTCGCTCTTGTACCGCTCTGTGCAGGGTGACACCACTGACTCCTTTTACTCATTACATAATGAATTACCCAGGTGCATCTCTTGCCATATGCACCTATTGATTAAGCTTAATCCAAATGCTCCCTCTGGCTCCCAGGCCACCAGACATCAGGGCTCATTGGAAATAATTCAGCTGACAATTTTAAGATTAATGACTTGGCTTGCCTTCCCCCCTTCCTCTACATCAGAATAATTTAGCATTTTTTTAAACAAAGACAATCCAGCCCTTTCAACAGAACAACCTTGGAAGTACAAATATGAGCTTAGCGGATATCAGTGTCCTGTCCTTTAAATGACTTGGCCTCCAGCACCAAACAACAGGGTGACAGCCACCACTGGCTTGTCACTCCTACATTCCTCTATTCACCAGTATAATGACTGACACCCACGTTCCATTGCTGGTGAACTGTGATGTATATTTCTGGGTATTAGTTCACATTATTACTGAAGGGGACTTGATGAAGACTGCCTTACTCATAATTTAAGAGAGCTGAAAGCTGACTTTGGGGTACCAGATCCTCCTGCCACCAACTTTCCTTCCTGATTTGCTTGTATTGTGACCTCTTTATAGCAAAGATCTGCCTTTGCTTAATTTGCCACTGAAGCCCATTCTGAGGCACAGAGAACCTCCTTTATGCAAACAGCATACGTGGATGTAAGGTTTCACTGTCTAACCTGGTTCTGAGCCTAAAGGTATTGGGTTATAGCAGTGGAATTTTAGGTGTGAGGAGGACTGAGGTCTTTTACTGTTTCCTGAAATGAGTTTAGGGGTATGGCTTCCTTTCTGTGCCATGGCTTAAACATCCCAAGGAACCAAGATGCCCTCCAACCTTCAGTCACTACAAAGCTCAAATTCCTATCTGACATAGGACAAGTCTCTCAGAAGATAGTTGCTCCCAGAAAATGAATATTCTTTTTTTTTTTTTTTTTGGAGGACAATGCAGCCACTTTTGATGAATATTCTTTTAGTCCTCGAATATAGTCAAAAGGTTCAGAAAATATTTTTATTCAGGTGACATTATAGGCAATCACAACAAATGAAAGAAAATGTCATTTCTGTTTGTGTGGAACAAGATTAGGTAGGCCCTACACTCTTACAACTTTGTGGTAAGATAGGCGGGTCTCACATTGATTTTAAAAAGTGTCCTTTCCCAAGCCTATACCCCCCAGACTCTCATTGTTAAAATTTTTTATTAAAAAATGCTAACTAGGCAAAGCACTCTTTATTAATGAGCAGGCAGAAAGGACATCCTGACTTGAACTTAATGCTTCTCCAAGGTGGTAGGAATGTTATGTGAATGAAAATCATTACAGTTGGTGAAGACATAGTGAAATGAATAGCCTTTTAAAATATTCACTGAATTAACTGTAGCAGTGCCTGGGCCAAGGAAGGCTAGTGCTACTTGGTAAAATGATGCATAAGACTAAAGAGAGTCATTCTGATCTCATCTGTTTTGCTCTGCAGATGGGATGTGTGTGGTCTAAACCCAGAAGCAGAGCTGGAGAAGTGAAGATGCTCACTGGGAACTGATGCCTAACTGATCAGGCTCCTTGAGACATGCAGATGAAGAAGATGAAATGACCTGACTATACCTTTCATATCTAGGACAAACTTTTAAGTACTTACAAGACGTCTCATGGATAAACAAAGAAGCATATTTATATAATGTTTCAAAAATCATAATATGCCTTACCTTATTTTTTATTATTTAACCTTTAAAAGAAATGTTTAAAATGGCTCACACTTTTCCTATTCTCTTCCTTAGCTTCTCCGACCCTCTATTGCTCTGGGTGTCAAATGATGGATCATGTAGGAAACAGTCTATCATTCTTCCCATAAAGATTCTGCAGTCAGAGAGACTGTGAGCATATTTGTCCCAGAACAATTTAATTATGCATTGACGACATCCCAGAATAGTCACCCATAAATTCTATAGAGCCAATGGGAGCTGTTAAGTCTCCTTGCCAGGTTATAGACAAATTGACTTGAAGTTAAATTTCTGTTACATTAAATATCATTATTCTACTGGATACTTACATGTGTTAAAGACACCAGCAAAAACCCAGCACTGGCCATATCGGACTGGCGTTTCAGAGCTCTTGTATTCTAGCAGAATGTCAACACTTCCTGTCCAGGCTGATGGCGGGATGCCATAGGCGTAGACATTGTCCCACGATCCAACAATAACACCTTCATCATCCTTGGCATTCACCTAAATGAGGCCGTAGGAGGTGGAGAAAAAGAAAAGTCATGTAGAAGATCCCCTCATCCAGACTGGCAAGGGGCAAGCTGAGGCTTCCAGTGTCTTCTGCTCGTCCTGCGTGGTGAAAACACTTCCCCTTCCTGTTCAGTTTGTCACGCTATCACCAAAGGTAACGATAAACGACTGAACTGTGCAAACAGAAGGCCTGATGGCCAAGACTACCTCAAGGGTAGTTGCGTGGTGAGTAGAAAAAAGTCTTCTTGATTCGGTTTGAAAAATATCTACATCAGGTGTGTGGTTTGGCCTAGAATGACATAGGGAAGACAGGAGAGGGACTGCAAAATGAAAAGCTGGGAGGGAATCTTGTACTGGTGAAAGGTGGGGCTCAGCTGACAAAGGGGAAATCATAAGTGAAAGTGGGCTTTTACTTTTCTGGTAAGGAGTGGGTGTTCACAAACCGCCAAGGTCAATACCTATTGCCAAGGGCACCACTAAGAGTCAATAGGAAGATGGATTCCCTTGGATAATGTAACTAGTTACTTTTTAAAATTTCACTAAAGGAATACTGTTCAGGCTGGGGAGATGACCGAGTGGGTAAGAATGCTTGCTGCATAAGAATAACTACGTGAGTTCAAATCCCTAAAACCTATCTCAAAGGTCTAAGGGGGGGAAATGATACAGCAGGACACCTGAGCGATATCCTCCTCTGTCTTCTCTATGCACATGTGTGCCCCCGTCATGTCTGCATGCAGCAATACACCCACGCCGCACACGTTTACACTACCCAGAAAACACAAATATTCTTTAATGATTTTAAAGTGACTAATATGCATACATACGCATATATATTTGAGTTGATGATCAAACTGGGCCTTGTATTGGGCACGTACTTTACCATTGAACTACACTTGAATTACTACTTTTATAATTATATTAAAAGGTTTTTTCAGTTTACCTGGAAGGTCTGAGATAGTATGATTTTAGGATGGTAGAAACTCAAGCAGATAGCAGCAATTTAGAATGTTTGATGACACTTTGACACTAGAGTAGAAACATCTAGTATACCTAACATGAGGGGCAAAACATAGTTCCTTAGAATATATAGATGTTTAGAAATAAAACAAAGGCCAGAAAGTAGTGATATTTATTTGTTTGTTTGTTTATTTATTTATTTATTTATTTATTTATTTATTTATTTATTTATGTCACTGATGGATCTATTTCTTTTGGCCCATAGCTTTCATCTCTTTGTTGCCAGAATCCAGGTGAGGAACAGTGGGAACTCTTTTCAAATTGGGTACTACCTCATAATTGGCGTGACAGTGATTTTGAATACTCAGTGCGTGGTCCAAGAATCAGCAGTAATGGCACCCTCTACGCTCATCAGAGCATGATGTCAAGCTCTTCCCAAGCCTGCTTAAAAGGAATATGTACTCTAAAACACAAATCACAGATAGTTTACATGCACATCAGCTCGGAAATGTCAGTCTGGGTGATAGTGAGAATATATTAATTAGTTATCGAAGCCAAATACAGGCTCTGAAGCTGTGTGCTTAGATTAGGTAAGCCATAGAGGAAATACAGAAATATAGTGAGTTTCTATGTCTCTGCTGCCTCATGAACCAACCACATAGCCTTGGCAACCAGCCGGACTTCTCCATTTGGCCTGCTGTGCTTGGCTGGAAAGGACAATTATTCTGAAATATTTTAAGAGTTCTTTGAAAACGGAGATTAAATCTGTGAAAATATATCTTTCTAAATTCCAGAAAGTCCAAATAAAGAGCTGGTGCTCCTTAGTTATTCAACAATCAGGTCTATTTTCAAAAGCCATATAGCATTGGATGCTGACTATGCATAAGGCCTTTTCCTTAGAAGCCAAGCAAGTGGGAATAATTTTTGACATGATGAAGACAAAAGTGCATAGAGGTAGAGCGGGAGTTCAAAGGAGAGGCGAACCAGTTGGGTTGGAGGGTAGTCCTGTTCTCTGGGGTTTGGTAGAGGGGATGCCATTCAAGCTGTCCAGAACGAGTCAGCCAATAAGTGTGTGATGTCATGAAATAATATGACAAGCTCGGAAAACTTTGTATCATCATCATGTAAGTAGTCAGTACCAAATGAAATGCTATTTCCCCCTTTTGACGTTGTGTCCAGTGGAGCTAGAGTGAAGACTCTTATACAGACTTAGTTAATTCATTGAATGTGTATGGGGAAGGGTAGGTGGAAATCTTTCATGTTTCTGCCAGCAAGCTCAAGGCTTTGATGTGAACTTCCTTCAGCCAACCCTTCTGGCCCTATTCTTGAGCAGTGCTTGTCCTTGATGGTGAATTAAATTATCAGAAAATCTGTGCCTACTATGGCGGAACGCAGGGAGCACCTGTGGTATGTCTTGGTCTTTGTGGAAAGGCAGTACATTATCATTGAAAAGCAGAATAGAGTTTATGGATCCCAGAGGTAAAAGTCCCTAAACTGCGGCTCTGATGTCTGATTTCCAGATAGATAGCTGTTAAATCGAAGGCTACTAATAGCATAAAGTGGAACCCAATCAGCTGGGGAGAAGAGTAAGAAATAAATAGCCCTCTTCCTTACAGACCTTTTAATTGTTAATGCTGAGTGTTGCCCCTGTTGCTAGATAAATCACAATTCTCACTTATTAGCATTTGGCCAGATTAGCTACTGTGTTCTAATTAGAACATTGATTTTTAAGGAGCTCAGATACAGAGCAAGATGTGTCTTCAACGACAGATGAAAAGGGTTAAAGTAATAGCCCCTTCTAGACAACAAAATGTGCTAGAAGGACAAGTGAAGGGCATTCTGGGGCATTTACTTGTTAGAGTTGGTTATTATAGCAACTGATTATATAAACTCAAAGTTAGCCAGGGGTAGAAACAAATGTCATGGTTTTGGGTCTTTGGTGATCCAGCATACAATTGGAACCTGGGACTACAGACTAAAAGCGATCTTTAACATTAATATGGCTGCATTAAATTTCCATGCCAAGGACTGGAGAGATGGCTCAGAGATGAGAATAGTGATTGCTTGTCCAGAGAACCCAGGGTTTGATTTCAAGGATTCTTTCAGAGAATCTAATGCCCTCTTCTGGTTATTGTAGGCACTGCATGCTCACAGTGCACAAACATGCAGGCAAAACACTTAAACACATAAAATAATTATAAAACACATTTAAAAAGTTAAATTTTCATGTCATCGTGCCTACAAAATTGGATAAAAGAAAAAAAACACTCCCAAAGTTACTATCAGCAACATTAGTGGTATAAGATAATTTGAGAAACTCCAATGCTCAGTGCCCAAAGCAGAAGGTGTCTATGAAGTGGCACAGGGAAGCAGCAGGGCTCAGGTTCCAATTTAACCACTGGTTGCTCAGAAGCCAGACAGCTGAAGCAGCACAACTCTACAGTTTTTCATCTGCGTTTTAAAATCTGTAATTACAATGGTTTCTTTATCTTGTTCTGACCAAAGAATGGAGCAATTTCTGTGGAAAAATGGGTGGGGAAGGGTCACATGGCAAAACAGGCAGATATTTTGTGACTATGATATAGAAACGATAGAAAGCCCAAGAGTGTCTCCTCAGGGGAGTTGGGGCCATGACTACATGAAAGAAGTAGCAGAATTCTTTCCTAAAAGAAGGAGCAGAATGCAGTACTCTAGAAAGGATGATCCCTCTCCTCAGCCCATCTCCTTTGCCCCAGGGTTGCTCATCCTTGCTCCAGTCCCCCAATGAATTTCAGAGCAGACCATGAGGTACATTGCCCTAAGAACTGTATGTCTGTGGAGAAATGAAATTCATCTTAGGGTGAGAAGAGCCAGATTTCACCTATCAGAACAAATAATATACCCAAAGGAAAACTGTGTATAAATATAAAAAACAGAAGACCTAGTAAATAGGGTGAGAGGAAGAAAGCAAAGATCACACATAGCAGAAAACCAAGGAGCATTTTCTCACAGTCTATAAGGAGATCACTGACCTAAGGGACAAAATGGATGACCAAATAATATCAATTCAAAAATAATAATGCACCATTAACTTCAAAATACAGAGTAGAAAGCATTAAAAGTAAATAAATGACATCAAAGAGAAATGATATAATCTAAAAATGTTAATTAAAAAGACAGAAGTTATTAGAGAGAAGCTAAGAGGACACAGATGACACAGCACAAAGGTAATGAGTGTCCTTAAAGCAGAGAAGCCTCAAAATAGAAACCAAAGGTGTGACCATAATCTAGAGCATTTGGCTTAACCACAAGAACACTGACTCCACACAGAGAGCCATCCATGGTCCACAGGCCCCTGACCTAGGAATAATAAGCAATTTAAGTTTTGAATAAAGAAAATAATTTCTTGGTTACCTAGACGAAATAGTGCAAATCAGTAAATATTGAGGTAATCGGGCTGTCTTCAGATTTCTCCAAAGTACCATTCGGTGCAAAACATTGTCAACCACAATTCACATAGTCCTGAGAGATAGGTGTCTCAAGGGTGTAAGGCACAGCCACGCTGTACCAGAATAAGGCCAAGCAGCATAAAATTTCAGTTTTGAAGGATCCCAGAGAACACAAGAATCATAAACTCCATGAAAATTACAGTTAAGCATTTTTCAGTTAAGCTACAAAAATGAGTTTAAAAGCTTGTAAACGTAGGACCAAAAGTTTTTACAAGGAAAATGAGATGAGAGTCAAAAGAGAAAATGCTAATGACTTGGTGTGTTGGTCCTGTAGTTAACTGACACCATCTAAAATTAAAATATAATTTAAAGTATATAATTACTTTATGTCTAATTGGTTTCATAATTTGAACTAATTTTGTAAGAATCTGTTAGGAAATGATATATCTAATTAAGAGACATTTATTTGAAGTTTTAACAGTTTCTTCTGCAGAATTTAGTGTTTTTCTTCTGCTAAAAGTAAGATTTAATACAATTAAGTAAGATTTCAGTATAATTAAACATAATTCTTTAAATAGTATGATGCCATTTGGGATAAATACAAACAAG